GACGGGGATTTCAACCCGTTTACCCCCGTCTTGGAAAAAAATCGGGCAGCATGACGCCTAATCCTAATCATTTAAGCCCCATTTCCCCCCACGCCCAAGCATCCCAATAGGTTGTTTATTGAAAGTAAAAGGCGCGTAGTAGGAAAAATGGATAATTTATTGAAAAAAAAGTATTTGTAGAAAATAATATGTACATAAGTTTTTGGTATCGTTCGGACAATGATCATTTTTCATTCAGTGAATTGTCATCATATTGTGAACATTGTCCTTCAAATCTAGATTGGTCGCGATATTGCGAAGAACTTGCCTCGCATTCATCAATATTGGCGGGTTCCTACAATAACAGAAAATGCAATATTAGATACGTAAAGAAATACTGTATAAAATACAGAAAAGGCACCTGAATTAATTTTATCCTAGTAAATATTCATATTTTAACGGGGCATGCGGAAGTAGGCAGTGGTATACGTAACGTATACGCCTACACTTACATGTGATAGTCTGGCTCCCAGTCATAATTGATAACAATTAATAAAAAAGACCTTACTTATATAGTCGCCCTGATGCCGGTCGCCTAGTATGTCTAACAAGTAAAAATTGGCTGTGAATAGTTAGCAAATCAAGTTAACAGAGAAGATATGCAAGAACGATGATACTTACCGTGTCGTCAGAGATAAATAAGTCCAGGAAGCCTCCCTGGACAACATTCTTCCATTTCCCTCGCACCCCACCATGGCGGTCCCGAGACCCGTGGAACCATTCTATGACGGTGTTGCGGACAACCTTTTCAGCAACATTCCGTAAGTTCGGATGTTTTCGGACGGCCTTTGAACTTTGTGACACAAATGTAAACCTACCACAAAATACAGCATACAGGGGGCTTACGCTAAACTTTTGCGAGGACACTAAGCTCCGAAGCAATTTGATCCACTCGCTTCACAAGCATATCAAGTTTTGAACTATGATAAACCATCACAAGGGAAGGGAGGAATCCTTACCGTACATAGTCATTGTCTGGTCTGTTGACTGCTTCAAAGTCATCTAACCTTTTACTAAGGGAAACGTTATGAGCAATATCAAGCGGACTTACGTAATCGTATTATAGGCATGCCTATTCAATTCATACCTTTGTCTAATAAGAGCCTCTAGGGCTTCAAAACGGGCTTCAAAACGGTCCTCCATCGCCTTCATTCACGTCAGCATTGTTGCAGGGAGCAACTCCGCGAGCTGTGGTGTGGAAGGAGCAGCAGTTGCGGGAGAATTTACATCGGAGAGCCTTCTTAAATAAGTTAAATTAATAGTGCTTACTGAGACATGCTGGGCCAACCCAGTGCGCGTTTAGCTAGTGGCGGCTGATTTTCTTTATCACTGTCTTTGTCTTTAGAATCCGACATAACCTGACGGGGAATCCTAGAAAAAACAGTAGTTGTACTAAAAACTTACTTCCTTCGGCAACCTTTGCCTTTCTGCGTGGGTTCAGAGCTCGACAGTGAGCCTCCTCTAATGTGAAGTAGTTACCCAGTATCCTAACTGGGTAATAAGGCGTGCGCTCTGGTTGCCGCTCCTCTTTCTCCAAACAGCGCTTTCGCACTTTTGGGTTATCCGGCTACATGACACGAGTCTTGTCGTGCTCGTTGAACCACTTCTTTCTAACCACGTCAACGGAATTTTCGGTGGTAAAGATAACCACGAAATACATCTTAAGCAAAATCAGGTGACAGTCAAGTCATTTACATTAACATCAAAACGGGAAAACGAAAAATTCATAAACATTTTATTGCTTAGAAAAAGTATGTGAAAAAGGTATGAGTTAAAAGTAGTTTTCAATTAAAAATGGGACATATTTACAAAGAATATCACTGAGTGAAGCAGACAGCGTACTGTTTTCCAAAGTGGAAGCTTTAAACATAAAAACTATTTGAGGAGGAAAAAGAGGGGGTGGTAAAGAGGTCGGTGCAATCAGTAAAAGATGTGTAGAGTATACAATCGGTAGTGAATCCAGTGAGTTGACATGGCCTATTGACAATGAGTACTACATTGTCGGGAAATTCTGTCGATAATACATATCCCTTGTGAAAAATTGCGGTTGATACGCGGGCAAATTAATGGGTCGTGGAACGCCAACGTCGTCGTCCAACATAATTGAGCTGGACGTCGACTCAAGGTTACGCCTTTCAAAGTAGCGGCGGTACACCTGCGAAGCACAACAGCGAGATCCACTAATATCACTTCTAACATCTTTCAAATAGGATTCCAAGAACTAAGTACTGAATTTATTTCTTACCTGTTTTAATCTTTTACCTTTGGAGAAATGAAAAATTTGCAATGCTTTTACAGAATCCCTTTCGGACATTGTGCTAATGAGGCATATGGACTCCTGCAGTATGAGGCACCCCTAGCGAAAGGACATTAGCTCGCTCCTGTCACGTCCTTCAAATAGCGCATCTATGTACTAAAATAAATTGAGGTCATTCATCGCAAACGTCATGTGGACTGTATTTCTAGATTAACAGGCATTTCGTCTTACCATTAACACTTTTTTTCCAATTGAAAGGTCTGTGTTCATAAGGTAAAGCGTAATTCAAAGTTTTATTTACAGAAGGCCCTGTAGAGTTGCCATCCGATCAGAGATAAATTCGCAAAAAGCGTCAACAAGCAAATTTCTCGATGCTGTCCCCCGTTCGGTCTTGTTTTGTGAGATCATCATATTATTGCTACTGTAACTCCAATTATTATCATTTAAACTACTGCTAGCACTTGTTCGGCTGTGTTTGTGTAGTTCGTTGACTTGGGACACTACCAAATGCCTTCATATAGTCAATATAAAATACATGAAGCGGATTTCTTATATCAATTTCTCGAGTCCAACAATCTTAACAATAGACAAAGTTCGTCAGGCAGGACCTGCCTCTGTGGGATCCATGCTGAGCATGGGGTAGTAATTTATGCTGCTATAAGATACACAGTGGCTGTTGCTTAACTAGTTGATCCATATTCTGCTATTTTTGCCAGCTCTTCGCTGGACTCTGTAGTCCACAAGGCCGCATCTCCGGCGTTTCGGTGATGAGCACTTGACCTCTACCGTTCCCTTATCCTTTCGACATGGTTGTACGCGATTACCCTCTGATGTCTCACTTTCATGATGGTGGATCGTGGAGCCAGTCAGGCGGCGTTATGGCGGTGAACGGTGGCCTCTGCTGCTATATTATTTCTCCAACGACAAGAAGCGTTCCAAACCTTCTTAGTTTCTCATCAATAGTCCTGTCTCATTGGATCACAACAATCCTATCAACCAACCGCTTTAATTTTAGAGAAGCAGTTTTTTCGTCCGTTTATTTTTAAGTGGGGGTCCGCTGAACTCTGCCCCTGCTTTAATGGAGTGCGTTTTTTCACTGCTTCCTCTTTATTTCACCGTACTTTTCAGAGAGTGTTGAATATTATTTTTAAGTGACGATATGTTGGCGAATATGAACTTATCCGCCCACTGTACTGAAAACTCCCCCTGCATATGTTGTTGATCACAAAGAGCAGCATTTATCAATTTGTCATTTATTTTCACAACAGGATTAGTTTGCAATGACGAGCACCTTCGGGCCTAAGATATAAAATTCATTCATTTATTTGGACGCATTTGGCGTCGGCAAATCCCGACGAGCAATCGCTTCAGCGGAAGATACATTATCAGTCATTGGACCGTAATCTAAGCCATCGCTAGCTTTCAGTTTTGGACTGGGCCTAATTTCGTCCGGTTACTCGATAGTAACCATAGAGTAACTTCACAATTAAAGCTGTTCGGTTCAGCACGTCTTTTAAAAAAATATTGTCGTGTCCTTAAGAAAGGTCTCTCTACAAGGCTTTTCTGCGCTTTGAAGGAATAGATGGATATAAGATTGCGTTAAGCGACCGATTTCCTCTGTAAACTCCGCCTTCTATTTGCTTTTTTCGTCAGCACATGAGTCAGCCACTGGGGACCTGTCGTTAAGCTTCTTCCGTGAAATCGGACAGTGGTTTCTGAGGAGTGTATGCAATAACCCCCTGAACCATTCACCATCATCACCCATATTGCCAGAAAATGCCGACTCCAACTTTATATAGTTAAGCTCGGCTTTCATTTAATCAAATTCACCACACCAAATATCCCTTATAAGTTTGGCGGGTTCTTCAGGTACCGAAAACATCGAATAGTCCCAATGAAGTACGACGTGGTCACTCCGACCTAGAGGAGGTAGACATTGTACCTCATCGATGCTGCCCAGCTATTTTCTGAGTTCCATGTCCGGGCTGCTTGATTTATGTCCCTCAAACACACGGGTCGAATGCAAACTCTGGATCATGCGCATTTGTCGAACTCCACTCTATGAGCAGAGCATTGAGGTCACATATAATCGAGATTTCAGGCCGAGCGGTTAATCTTGCATACTCCATTATAAGACTAGCGTCAGCCTCGGGGTCACCTCTTGATGGTCGGTAGACAGACAAAATATCCTTGCTAGATGATTCCGGTGCCTTTATAGCAAGCCAGCTAGCCTCGATGCTGCATCAGAACTTTCCTTTTTTTTTCTGTGACCAGTAGTCCGTGTTAAACGATAGTTACAGCTCCTTCTCATTAACACCCTCTTCTGTCTCTTTAAAACAAATGATATAAGGGTAGTGCCACTTCGCAGTTATCTATTTTTTCAGACAGCTAGGTTTCTGTCAAAGATATAACGTCGAAGAAGCTCACAGATGTGCAGTTTCAGTGCATCTGACTTGGATAGTAGACTCTATACAGTGATATAGAAACATTCTACAGACAGAGAACTTTCATACAGAGTCATCATGCAAGATTGAGTCTGACTCGTTTTTGACTTTCTAGCGCTAAAGTGAGTGGTTTGGGAAGTGCATTTTCTGACATGTTAGTTGCTTAGGCACTGTAGTGTCCTAGGTAGGCCACCGGACCTCGTTAGCGAGATATTGGAAGAGTTTATGGTTCGCCCACTCTCGATCTGCGGGAGTAGTGATTTCCGTGATGTCGAGCTTCAGGGAAGGTCTAATTTAGTTGTCGCTGTCTAACAAAGGCGTAGGTAACGTACTTATACCCTTCTCTTTCCTTCATTTTTCTGCCATTTGGCAGAGAAGGAAGTGGCTTCATTTCCAAAGTGCTGACATTTCTAGGGAAAAACCCGCTCGTACTATCTCTACTGTTTAACTCTGCGTTGTTTTCGATCAAACAGTATAACCGGTGTTGTGAACTCCTGTACGTTTTCCTAATCGCAGACATTGAAGACTGTTTGCATGCAAACACTTCGAGAGTTACACCAACAACACTCATTTTTGGAATATTCTTGGTCAGTGGATCCCTAGGGAGAACTGTGGATTTTACTGTGAACGATTTGAGATTTTTTGAACTATAGTTGGTTAGAACACCCAATAATACGTTCTTCTTCTAATATCTGCCATGTTACTGAAGGATCCTATTTATGATGCCCATCATCGGTACCTACTTGGCTATTGAGGTTACTTAAGGAAATAAAATCTCATCAGTAGATTGTCTAGTAGGTACCATATAAGCTTGATAGTCTGACGGACAGGGCTTTAATCATAGGCTCCTAGACATTTTGCCAGAGTTTGGC